ATGGAAATTAGCAAAAAAAATCTATAATGTAAATAGGGACTAAGCTGGCCACCTGGAGCAAAATACCTCCACTTAGATGTTTTATGGCCTTGCCCCTTTATCCAAGGTAATGGCGATTCTAGATGTGCATTTCACTGATGGGGTGTAAAAGAAAAATACTTTTTGGTTAGAGAAGAGTTAAAACTTCTTTAAGGCCTCTGTTCACTTCCTATCTTGGAGAAGCAAGTTGGAATACCGTTCTTACTGGAACAGATGTCCCCATTGCAAGATTGACCCTTGTGTCTTGTTCTGGTGACTACCGTAACATTTTGAATTTTCTACCACTTTTTGTCTCCGTGACATTGGTCACTAGAACACAGACAACAATAAAACTTGATAGAGGGCCCAACCCTTCCCAGCTATTCAAAGCTAAAAAAAACAAAAAAAAAGAAGGGTTTTGCCTTTGCATGCCTTTTTTTTTTTTTGGAGTTGCCCGGTACTGCAAGATACAGGTGAAACTCGAATAATTAGAATATCGTGCAAAAGTAATTGCAGTAAGTGCTGCAAAAGGGGCCCAAACCAAGTACTGAGTACATATGCATGCTTGTACTTTTCAGAGGTCCGATATTGTTCTATGTACAATCCTTGTTTTATTGATTGCATGTAATAATCTACTTTTTTGAGGTTGTGGATTTGGGGTTCTTGGGGTTTTCATGAGCTGTAAGCCATAATCATCACAATTATGACAAATCACGGCTTGTATTATCTTTCTTTGCATGTAATGAGTCTATCTCATATATTAGTTTCACCTTTTAAGTTGCATTAGTGAAATAAATGAATTTTGCACGATATTCGAATTATTCGAGTTTCACCTGTACAGTTCCATGGACAGCAATTGTTGCAATCTGACAATAGACAGCAGGCAAGGATACTTCACACAAGCTTAACTACAATCATCCATATATTTTTACTGCTAAATAAAATTAAGAAAATTGCTGTTTTTGCAGCATGTAAGCATGTAGCGCAGTAAAACCTTCTTAGAACAGAAGATATTCACATGTCTCATCCTGTCACGTATCTCAAAAATAGGGCCATTATTTCTCATTTGAGAACATTGTTCGGAGACCTGCAATGTTGGTTTTTTTTTTCCAACCAACCCTGTCACTACGATAAAATAATAAAAACAGAACCACCCTGTAAAATAAATAGTATAATAATTTTCTTTTTCTGACCGACTTCAGTATTTGCTCATTTAAAGAGCTACGGGCATCGATGGTGCCCAACACTTCAGATAGTGTGTCCCCCACTCTGGGCGCCGTGGTTTCTGCCGCTGCCAGCTACATCACAACCAGAACAGTAATCACGTAGAGGGAGAGGACCAGGTATCCAACATGTACAAAATTGCTCTACGATGTGATAAACCTGCCTTAGTTACTGCAAAGACTCTGTACTGTCTTAGACACCCAAATGCTTTCCCTTGCTGTGCAGCTCCGCCTGCTTACTTGTAGCTGACCAAAGTATTTCTCACTATGTGTTAGATAAGAGCCAAGCCGCTGATATTAAAATCTGACATTAAAATGAGATCATTGGCTGTGGAAAGTGCTCTAGGACTCCAAGTCCATGAATTAGTGCTGGGAAGTGAGAAGAAAACAAAGATCAAACTCGAGCCCAAAGCAATTTGCCGATGGAAAAAAACCTTTTAAAGTCCAGGGGACCTTTTAAAGGGAACTTGTCAAGATAGACTTGTGGAACGTGTATGTAAAGGTGAAAGACCCATTGCCACCATCCTAGTCATTGATTCACTACAAAATAAGTCACAAGCCCAGAACAAATCTGAGAACAGCTGACCTACGCTTGTTCTGGTTTAGTGATACATTAAGTGGTAAACCAAAGATGAAGATGAAAATTTGACAGGCTACCTTTTGTGCTCTGAGATTTGAAGACCAGCTGTCATCTGTAAACAGTGTAGGCAGATATTTTGTAGCTGAACCAATGGGAATCAACTCTTGACTCCCATTGGTCCCATCACTGGTTCCTAGAGAATTGATGGGGTGCCACATCAAACACCAGTCCAGTCAATACAAGGGTTGCCATGTTGTGCGCAGGCAACAGATACATTTTAAAGGCAATCAATCAAATCCTCATGCATCTATGGGGCAAATTACCAAATCACATTAATATTTTGAACACATTTTCTGGCAGTGAATAAAAGATGATGCTCGCAAAAAGATCACTTAGTCCTAGGCTTACAGGAGCATTATAGGTCTGTAATGCATTACTGCAAAAGGTCTGTTTTGTTGACATTCAGTGACATAAGAGGATCAGAGTATATAATAAACAAATATGGCAGCACCTATGACCATATATTTACAAACCATATAGAGAAAGAAAGTTTTTTTTTTTTTTATATCGGTTAAAGTACTGGTAAGGTTATGTACATGAATGATAACCAGTCAAGATTGGGCTTATGCAAGAATTTAAATATTCAGTCTTTAAAGTTTATATCATTTTCATAATAAAAAAAAAAAACATTTAATACATCTCTTCACATTGCTCCATTTATATCACTTTAAAAACGCAAATCATGTACAAAAAACACCTGTTGATCTGATAAAAACCCAGTTAAAAACTCCTAACCTCCTTTTTTTTAGCTGACAACACTGCTTTTGCTGCACTGAAATCCCAATAAGCCTTGTCAGATCTTCCTGCTGGACTACCCTCTCCCTCCCTCTTCAAATGCAATCATTTTGTTTTTTTCCTAGCAAAAAAACAAAGCTGCCTTGACTCCCACAAGCCTCTTTAGGCACTTTTTGTGTGGGGAAAGGTCTCTTGGCAAATGTAGTTCTGAGGGCAGGCCTACATCAATGGGCATTGAGCTTCTGCAGCTGCTCCTGCAGGATTTTTAGTCTGGTGATGTCACAGAGTAATAAAAGCTGTTTCCCAATACAGGAACAAGGAGATAAAATTAAAAAGAAATGTCAGGCATAATGTAGATGGGGAGGTTTGGGGTAAATTTGGGTCACTTTTGAAGAAATATCAAATGCAGTTCTGAGGGCAGGCCTACATCAACGGGCATTGAGCTTCTGCAGCAGCTCCTGCAGGATTTTTAGTCTGGTGATGTCACAGAGTAATAAAAGCTGTTTCCCAATACAGGAACAAGGAGATAAAATTAAAAAGAAATGTCAGGCATAATGTAAATGGGGAGGTTTGGGGTAAATGTGGGTCACTTTTGAAGAAATATCTTATCGCTTCCTGTTCTAGCATGAAGTGAGGACAAATCTCCCTAGTAGGTGCACAAATGGAAATAAAAACTTAACAGGGGCTCTAACTTTCAGTTACTTTCTTAGTTTCCTAATGGCTTGTGCTGAGAGATATGGATGGACAGCGTTGAGGTTGTAGACGACAAAAACAGACAAGTGTTTGGAGTCTAATTCATTCCGTAGCTTCTTGCAGCTTAATTTGCTTGCAGGAGAACTGTAGTCTTTTAAATGTCAGATTACAGGCCAAATTTTGTTTTTAAAAGAGGGGGTAGGAGTCAGAATTTGTGTTTAAAGCTGCTTAAAGTTATATTAAAATCAAATGGTTGTTAAGCCAGTTCAAATGGTCGTTAAGCCAATACAATGGATTTTGTTCCTTGATGTTTAAAAGTTTTAGTTTCTTTCAGTATCAGCTGGTCTCCTGTGCACTGATACTGATATCCTGTTATAGGGTGGCTCCTTTCCCTTGCAGGGTCATATAGAGCCACCCTTGTGTGTGCTAGAAAGCTGTGGGTGTCTCTCTACAAACACACAGGCACAGCAGGATAAGTCACTCTCGTGCCTTCGAGTTCCTTGCTCTGTCAGAACCAGTGACAACACCTAGTACTACTGGAAATGGGGAGGTTGTGACCTCCTTCCATGTTAAAGTGCTTGGGTCTAACAGCCAATCTCTAGGCCCAAGCACTGTCACATGACAAAGCGAGAAACATCACCGCTTCCCCTAGTATTCGCTAAGATGGAGGCGGGAGCAGTGGGGGAGCGCTGGCAAGGTTAGTCAAACAATGTATACTGTATATTACAATTCTGTAGTTTGGTTTCTTTTTTATTGAAAGAAGAGGACATGTTATAATGTTTAAACTCACGCTTAAAATTCAAAACTGAACGCAGCAATCGTATTGCAGCTCTTGAGCTGTTGCACAAGTCCCAGCATGCTGTGCTGTCCCAATAATCTTATAAAGGAAAGCTGCTGGGACTTTTAGTTTGGCACCCCCCGGGGGAGCATCGGATTATTTTCCTGGGCTTTATTCTCATTATGAATGACAAAACCAGAAGACTTTATCTGCCAGCTGTAGAGTTCTCTCACCGAACACAAGATCACTCAGCTGGCTTTAATTTGAGATATTACACATCAGTTGGCAGGGAAAAAATATGCTGTTTTTATTGTAAATAGTAGACCACTCTTCAAAATCTCTCTGTGGGAATTAGAGCAAAAGAAAACAATAGGTTGGATATTTGCTTGAAGTGCAATGTTCTTTTCTGTGCATTAATGCTAGGGGCTCGTTCAGGCAATAGGGCAGGCTTAAAGGAATACTCTAGCAGACTTTGAAATTTACCACCGAAATGCGTTATGGGACGCATGTTAGTGGCCCAAGGTGTTTTCTTTTTCATCCTAAAGATGCTTGGGTACACCAGGCTGCTTCTGTGAACACCTGATAGGAACCTGTGGTATGCAGGCCATATTCTCAATTCCACCCTTTAGTGTTTCTCTGCAGCTTAAATCTGAACTCCATGCAGATATAAAGGGCACAAATAACTCAGCGCTGTATTCATTTAATGCAAACAGTGTAAGTAAGCTTTGATTGCATTATCAAAACAACTCTAGCATGTATTCCTATTACAATGTGGATGTTATAACAGGATGGTATATGCTGGGACTTTATAACTCCTTTTAAAGTAAACTTTTCAAATTGTAATTGAGCAGTTCCTTACGTCTATTATGTTAAAATGTACTAAATGTGTGTGTTATTCTTTCCCTTCTTTTAGATATTGACGAATGCCTGGTCAACAACGGCGGCTGTGACCATTTCTGTCGTAATACTGTTGGAAGCTTTGAGTGCAGCTGCCAGAAAGGCTACAAGTTATTGACTGATGAGCGAACATGCCAAGGTAAACTTATTTCTCTCTTTTCCACCAGTAAAGTGTCTTCCTCTAGGTCTCTTCTACTGCAGAATTCTTGGGAGGAGCCATTCCAAAGCTGGAACTATGAAAGTCTAGCAATCAGTCAAACTTGTTCATGTTTCTTTGCCTGGGGATCAGTGACAGAATTAAAATATTCTAGACCTCAGTTGGTATTGTTGCTAGACCATTCTGATCGAGGGGAAGAAAGGGACTAAAGGCCAACAATCACTGGCATAAATAGGGGGGATTTGGTTTTTTTTGATGACTCTGAGCTGTATGTAAAAATCAGAACACAAAAATCAGATGATCAGACTATCTGTAAATGTGTATTTATTTATCATCAGACTATGACAATGTATGACAATCCAAAGAGCCAACGATCGTCTCCAGGGTGCGTGTGCTCAAGACCTCGAAACAAATGTCTGTTCATACCTTGACTTGCTACAGTCTCATTTACTGAACATTTACTGAACAATTCCCACAAAACATGGCATCTGCACGTGGAGATATTCTGCTGCAATAACCTTTGAGACTCATAGTCCATACATAACCAGCTAGAAATCCTTGCATGGACGCGTCACAAGACGCTCAATCATAGAGTTATGACTAAACCTTGTGAGAGGCAGGTCAGGGGGAGAAGTTCTAGTGGGTTGTGTATGGACTGTGAGCCTCAATAGAGCATTTTGCAATGAGATATCTCAGTGGGCAGTCTGTCTCTTATGGATATGTCAATTAATTTCAAAGGTCTACTAGGAACATCTGATTGTTTACTGAAACATTCAGGGTAATATAAGGGGAGAGATTGTTTATTAACACGTTTTTCTTTGTAGTCTGACTCTAGATAAAAGTGGGCAGATCTTGTTCTTCATTATACGGCTATATTAAAGAAAACTTGATATTTTTTCCCTATTTGGGTATTTTAAGGAATTTATCCTAATGAGCACCAACACTGTGTGATCTGCGCTTAAAAATTGTACTGAACCAAATGTTTTAATTCATATGGGCACTCAATGAAGTTCTCTCTTCACTCTTACATTAAACTCAGACTGTAGTGGGGTCTGCTTTGATGCTGCAGTCCTTATTAATTTTTATTGTTTCCCTTTTGTAAGTCTCCTGCATAACATAGTGTCTAAAATGGGTCCAACTTTGCCCAGTTTACATAATAGCTGTAACGGGTCACCAGTATATGACCTTGTAAAGGCAGCCGAAACTGGAGATAACTGGGACTTCTATGTGATTTCAGTTTGACAAAAACCACACAAAATGGAAATATTAGTTTGGGTTGTAGTTGACTTTGAAGGCCAAAAATTGTCTTGCATCTTTTACCTCTTTATAGTCCTGTTCCCTTATATGTAGGGATGCACAGATACTAGTATCGGTGCCAATACCGAGTATTTGGGGGAGTACTCGTACTCACCCAAATGCTCCAATACCTACCCTCCATACCAGAACTTCCAGTCAGAGGCAGTCTTTGACCGGCAGTGCCACGAGGGAGCATGGAGCCAGCTTTCCGGCCAATCAGGAAGCCGGCGATGGGTTATGACCCCCCTCACGGTTTCCTGGCCGGTCAGGAAGCCAGGCTGTCTAGCAACAAGTGAAGCCAGTTTCCTAGCCAATCAGGAATCCGGGAGGAAGGTCATGACATGCCGCCGGGCTTCCTGATTGGCTAGGGAGCCGGCTACCTGACCAATCAGAAAGCAGGGAGTCGGGTCATGACGTGCCAATGATTGGCCAGGAATAGTGAGGGAAGTGAAGCCAGTATTCTATTGATTAGAACACCGACTTTCCAGGCAATCAGGAAGTCGGGCGGCGGGTCATGGCCCGTCTCCCAGCTTCCTGATAATCCAACCCCACGGATGTCGGTATTAGTAATCGGTATCGGCAAGTACCGGAAAAAAAATATCGGTACTCGATACCGAAAAAACGGTAACGCTGCATCCCTTCTTATATGGTATGATTGGTGACTGATTTTTGCTTTGAAAAGCTTTATGTAAACCCTAAGAATTAACTTCTCTTATTTGTTACTTTTTGATCTGATAAATATGCCATTGAATGTGATTTAATGCATCTATTTGAGAAATGTGAAAAAAATAGCTGTTGGCTGCGCGAGAAAAGTTGTGAGTTAATAACTTCCTGTGCTTTTAGCCTCTGCTGCACTGTTTTCAAATGCATTCCCTGTTATCTTTGTGTAGTACCGAACACCTTCCCCTATGTTATTTAAAGAGAAAAGGGGGGAAGTGTTCTGTGGTCCTAAACACTTCCTGTCCTAGGGTGACAGTGCTGCTCCTCCATCGAAACAGTACACTGAGTAAATGTTGTCACCCCAGGACAGAAAGTGTGTTACTGGCAGGTACACCAGGTGAAAAAGAAAAAATCTTAAAAGTAAGAAAACTATTGCAGCCACTACTTCTAAGAACTGGTAATTTGCAACATGTTATATTGTTGTTCTTGGGTTTATATACACTTTTAAATACCCTATTCTCAGGAAAAAGGTTGCTTCTTGCCCTCACTCTGCAGTGATCTGTGATGGCATAGCTGAGTAAAGGCCACTCCCCCATGTCCTCAGACTTTTGTTATTGAAGAGGTAGGGTGTGTGTCAGGTCTGCGGATTACAGAGCACACTTGGTCTTTTCTGGTGCCTATTAGTCATATTTAGATTACCTACACAACCAGGATATTAAGGAAAGACAATGAAAACGATGGTTGTTAGTACAATGTCTGACTGCATAGCTACAATTTTTTAGACTTCATTTGGGCTATAACATACATTTGTGGAAGTCCTTATTGTTGCAGAGAGTTTCCAACATGTGGAAAATATCTGTCTACTTATGCTTTTTGTTGGAAAAATGGGGGGAACAAACCATTTTGCTACTATGTTTTTGAGGAGATAGTGGTGTTGGGTCTTAGCAGTAAGTGGAAGGTTAGATATCTCATCTATGTTCTCCTTTACTCTACAGTGTGGATAAAAACAGGAGAAATAAACCATTTTTGCTACAATTTTTTTGGGTGAGGAGATCTTGGTGGAGGGCCTTAGCTAGGGATGCACTGATATTTTTCGAGTACCTGTGCCGATACTTTGCATTTCCATGTGAACTACCAGGGTTGCAGGAGTTGCAGCTGAGACCTAGCTCTGGCGCTCCACCACTGTCCTGAAATCATTAGTCTGTATTGTTCTATAAAAACTGTCACATGACAATAAACATTTTTTATCAGTACTTGTACTTGCAAAAATGGTATTGGTGCATCCCTTTATTTATATTTATAAAAACAAAATCATACATTAAAACAGAGATGTACAAATCCCAGGAGTTCCGTGTGCTGCTTACAAATCACAGCTGCCTCCTAACTTGTGAATTTTTCTCTAGTCTAGTCTTGCAGCTGGAAAAGTATCTGTACTTGTACCGAGTATGGTATTTGGTATAATCCTTCATACATTAAATCCTTCATTGAACACCATTGCTGTAGTGGAGGTACATTGTCATATATTTATACTGAATTTGCTTAGATCAGTACATTCCACTTACACCTTCTCATTATGCTCTACTAAATTCCATCTTGCGTAGTGTTATGGAAGCTGGATGTTTTTGGTACACTTGTGCCATGTTGTGTCAAGTTTCCCTGGGTCACCTCTGAATTCATAGGTCATGTTGAAGGACTCTCTTTTATCTCAGTGAACTCTTGCAAAAGAGTTAGTTGATGAGGAAAGGGCATTTTGAAATCTGCAGCTATTTGGAAGTCATTAGAGACCAGGGAAAAAATCAACCCAAGAAAAACAAATTCTAATAAGATAACCATTTTCAGAAAATTCTAATCTTAGACACCCTTGAAGAGGCCTTGCTAATTGTGTCCATATTTTATTTGACTGTAATGATGCCATCTTGTTCTTGGAGTCAAACGCTACTTCTTTTATATAACACCGTAAACCAAAAGCCCTGTTAAAGGCAGTTGAATGTTCCGTTATTCACCACTTGAATATTTATATTGCTTGGGTTCCTATGACTATAATAGGAAATGGATTTTAACTGGCCAAGAACTGTGTACCGTCTCTGTAGCCAACTTGCGTCCATGGTCCAGTGCATTTTAATTGAGATGAAACTATGTGTTGTATACAGTTGTTGGTGCTGGACGTCTCCCTTAGTATGAGAATCCATGACCGATTACGAGTTCAGTGATGAATAGAAGCCAGGAGAGAAAACCAAGACAGTTGATACCCTATTTATCTTGCATGTTTGACAGTGAAATAATAACTTATTTAGTCTCCGAGACAGTCACTGCAGAGTAAAGCAGTCGCGAGACTCCTATTTTATTTAATGTCTCTGGATGATCCCAGAAATATTTGGAAGAGGTTGAGTAACCTGCGTCCTTAATAAAACGTACGGGGAATTGTCAATAAGCACATATTTTTTAAGTTATTCTTGGAGTGTTTAGTCTAAAGCGTATCTAAACCCAAAAAGCAGAAATGTAATATATTGTACAGTAGTTTACCAGTCCTTAGACCTGGTGGCTGCATTAGTTTTCATTTTTCAAGTTTTTATTCTTTTATTTTCATTTGGTGATTCTGCCATTCACACACTTCAATTCCTAGGATGACAATGCTCACTTACCCTACTGTAGTAGGACAACAGAAACAGGATAAGACTACAGGACGCCTCCCCTCTTCTTTATAACGTAAGGGATAAGGTTCTGTTGTTCTCAGAGATAGCTAAGAACAATGTAACTGATAACAATCAGCACAAGCAGAGAGCAACTTAGCAGCTCACAAGATTTGTGGCAGACTTAAGGTTCCCACACACCTTACGATAATCGTACGATAATCGCGGGAAATCCCGCGATCGTACGATTATCGTAAGGTGTGTGGAAGCCGTGCGACCTCTACTACTGTAAGGTCGCACGACTTTAAACTTACGGACATGTTCGAATGTTCGGCGGGTTTGTGGCATGTCCGCACGATAACAGCCGTACGGGCAGGGGTGCGCAAGCGCACACTG